AGTGATGGAGGAGACACGTACAGCGACAGATTTAACAATTAAAAGCTGACAAATACAGCGACATCTATGGAGGGGATAAGAAATCAGAAAAGAAGGGAACAAAGGCTCGAATGTTAAAGAGAGAGGATTCGGAAGAAAATAGAAGTGAAATGAGAACAAAACAATATACAGATAGAGTAATGCGACTATTCGTTTCTCTCACTGTAAATTTTAAAATATATTGAAACTTTTCAGGGGACTATGGACCCCTAAACCCTCCCCATACACGACTATGCGTCTGAGCTAAATTTATCAACACACCGCGCACAAAACATCATCATGGCTTCATCCAAATTGCCGTGACAGCAGATGAGCTCGCATCAGCCTTCTGAAACATTCAGTTCATCAGACCAATCAACCCGAGTGTTGCAACAAAAACGGGCATGCGACCTCGACGCAGCGTCGAGTGAAAGCAAACCATTCAGTGGTTTACCGGCGAGTGAAAGTGAAAAATCAAGTGCGACGCCATTTTTATCAGGGTCATCACAAGGTAGTAAACATTCTAATGAGGTAATAAACTCAATAGAGTCGTTACAAGATTTATATGAAGTTACTATTTATTACAGATTAGTAGTCTAGAAAACGAAGAGTGTCTCGTTTAGTCGCCAGACGAAGCTTCAAAAATTCTTATCTTTCAAAACACCGATGAAATATCCACATTCAGAGGCTTAGTAAACACGCTTTAATCAATGGCAAAAAGTAACGTTTCTACACAACTAAAATCATATAATTTAATAATTAATTTAGCGATGATACTCTCTACCCTGAAGTGATTAAATATTTCCTCAAATACTGAAGACAGTTCCATATTAGTGTTGCTACCCAAAAAATCTCCGTTGTTATAAAAAACGTTGCTATTTAAAATCTCAGAGAACGTAATTATTACGGAATTAAAATCAGACTAGTGAAAAACGTCACAAACCCAAAAGTGGCTCACCAATACCCGTAGTTATTGTAGAATTATCTAGTACTAATAATATAGAAAATATTTAGCTAAACTTGTTATTTAAAATATTATTTGCTACATTTAAGTGAAGATAGAGAAAAAAACAGTGTTGCTGTTACACTCTAACAGTGACTTACCCTCTAATTGTAGAGAAAACTTCGAAGAACCTGATCTCGTATCTAAACAACCTAAAGCACTTACACCTACTCGAAACAAGTAGTACTACAACAGCACACACTCTTGTATATTGGCAATGTTCCATAATATTTTTATTTTGTACTTTCTCTCCCACTGAGACTTCAGACATCATTCGAAAAGTGTTAACGATATATCTCAAATTTACTCCAAAACTTCTGATATATGGAGTAAAGTGTACATGCCATTAATTGAAGACATAATTTAGATAAGATTTTATTAAGAAAAAAATCACTACCATCAATACTGTAGTTGTAGGAAGACTCCGAATTAAACTTTTGCAACTTTTGAAAATTGTGAGTTTCAGTGAAATTCAGACCTATACCAATTTTTTAAGCGTTCTTTTCTCTATCCAACAAAAATTTTAAAAATACAAATGTAGCCATTGTTGAGAAAAGTTTGAAAATGTTGTTAAGGCTTCATATAAAGTAATCTTGAAAATGAAAATATCTCTTCATTCAAGGGACCGCGACTTCAATCAGGACCATCGGGGAAGATAAAGTTTTGTGAAATTCTGAGTACGATACAGGTGCTAGTGTTGTTCATAGAAGGTTGGGCGAATAGATCGATACGTAGACAGACGTTAAGAAAACACTTTTCAGAAATCAGGAACCCCCAAAACGTATATTTTTGTAAAAATCTCGACACCGATTTCTTGCAGCATTGCATAATTTTCTATATGCTACGTATAAGAGAAAGAAAAAGAGACCACGAAATGGAAAATTATTTTGAATGTCTCGCAAAATCAGTCGCGAAAACTTTCGCGAAATCGCGAAAACTTTCACTCTCCGTCACTCACCCTACGTACTTCCGTTACCCCTGCATAACTCTCTTATTCATGGTACACATTCACTTCATCAATTAAAAATATAGCCATTGATTCAGACACAAAATTAATACGGAAATATCCTCATAGTAATAATGTGTGGGCAGAGAAACGTCATCTCCGTGTTCCTGTACAATTTCAGTCTTCGCCCACTTCTCATTTACACATGTCGTACATCATCGCTATCGTACATCAACACCCCACAAAACACGATTAATATTTGTCAAAAGAAAATCCTCCGTACTGCAACGAATGTCCCATGGTTTCTCAAGAAAGTCACCCCTCAGGCCGATGCCCACCTAAAGTCAATAAAAGCAAAAAGTACCTTCCAAAATTTCTACTTGTATCTCAATTGTAACTTGACAATCCTTCTCCAACTCAGTGTCGATAATCCTTCTTTTCTGGGAAGGAAATACAGATACCTATTTCACTCCTTCCTTAATTGCTTTTGACTAATAAGATATAACTACACCAGTAATTTTAATCATCTTCCAGCGATTCTCTGTCAATTCTTAACGTGTTGTCTCGCTCTATATATTTCTATAGAATATGCATCTGTGGAGCCGATTGGCTGAACGATCTCCATTCCACTTCACGACAATTTCCTCAGCTCTGTTCACCGGGTGTTTCTTCTCCTCGAGCAGGGAGGAGAAAAGATGCAGCGGGAGAAGAAGAAGAAGAAGAAGAAGAAAGAGAAGAAGGAGAAAGGAGAGAAGAGAGTAAAATTATGGAGAGCAAGGAGAAGGAAGTGGAATGCAATTACTAACATGATGCGTTGAAACGTTCGTATTAACATTTCTTCAGGCGGTAATGCGAGTCTGACGAGTAGCTTTAATGCGAAGCAGCGAAATATACAGGATATTTATGGAGGAAACAATGAAACTTTGAAAATAAACTCTTAAGTCAATTTTAAGCATTTTTCTTCTAATAAACTTTGTTATTTCGAATGGTTAAGGCGAAAAAAGCACTCAAAAATTGGTTTGAAAAAATATTTTCTTTACTAAATTTGCATTTTAGGAACATATAAATACTCCAGAAACATGTAAATTGTTTATTATTTTCAAAATAAATGAATATATTTGTTTACAAAGAAAAAATCACAGAAATAAAAAACAATTGAATTGTGTAAATTTGGCGTTTTTACTTTCTGTGGTAATTTTTCTTTGTGAACAAATATATTCAATTTCCGTGTTTCTGGAGTGTTTATATGCTTCTGAAATGCAAATTTTTGCATAGAAAGCCTTTTTTCAAATTAACGTTTGAGTGCTTGTTGCGGCTCAGTCATTCGAAATATCGAAGGAGCGTCTTAGACAAAATCTGCTTAAAATTGACTTAAGAGCTTGTTTTGGAAGCTTCGTTGTTTCCTGCCACGACTCCCTGTATAAAGAAAAGCAAAGCGCGAACGCAAGTCAGGAAGAGCACTCACCCCCTTGAAGGGCCAGTTGGAGCCCCTGTTGGCGTGGATGCCGCGCGTGGGTGCGCCGTTGTCGGACAGGAACAGCACCGTGGAGTGCTGCAGCATGCCGCGCTCCTGCAGCGCCTGCAGCACGGCGCCCACCGACAGGTCCAGCTCGTGCACCATCGCTGCGCACCGCACACCGCATTTGCGTTCGCGTTCGCATTTGTGTTCGCATTTGCGTTCGCGTTTGCATTTGCGTTCGCGTTTGCGTTCCAATTTGCGTTCGCATTTGCGTTCGCACTCGCATTTGCATTTTCACCGAGCTCAACGCTTAGAGCGCATTCCAGCGAGAGATCTGGATACTTGCACACCTAATGGCCGAATCGAGTTCTCGAATGAACTGGGTAATGTTCACGTCCAAAATGGGTCGTTAATGTCCTTCGCAGGAACGTCTTCGAAGGATGCTTCTGTCTTTATCTGGATAAAGTGCAAATTAGCCAGGATGAGGTGGCTAAGGAAGGTGAAGAACTTAGAAAAACGAGGAATGGCATCATATGAATAAAATAATAGCATAAGATATATTATAGTATGCGATCAAAAGGGGTCAAACAGCTTGTGGGAAGTTTCAAAATCTAGTAAGAGATAAAATGAGTAGTTTCGAGCATTAACACTTGAGTTGTCAGTTACACGAGGTACACCTAATCGAACATTACCTCACTGCATTTCTCAGTTAAGCTAACATTTTCGAGTTGGGGCAACGGAATAGGTCCTTTGTGCATCGCGATTTACAAAAACAAATCTTGAGTCTGTCCAACACTTAATCTCCAAAACATTTTATTCCAAATACTGCTCGCGAACGCACAAGACGCCTCCCACTCGGATAATCACCTTAATTTAATTAGCGCCATGTGGTTAATGCCAGCAATAGTCGGATGACATCCGAAATGATGCATTCATCATTCATCCAGCTTTATCCAATACGTCTGCCTAATGTGTGAATTAACCGTCTAAATCGCATTTTTGTCATATTTCGGACTTATCACACAGAGTTTTCACCAACTCATTACTAACCATCTGAGCACCCGTTATCCAGTACCTGGAATGTATTACTATGACAGATTTCTCCTCTGAATTGTAAATAAACAAATGTTTACTATGCCCAGTCGTATATTTCTGGGCATGAAGTGTGTAAATGAGTACTTACAATCTCAGTCAATGAAATGTAACTGTGCAAAACTATTCCGCCTTTGTAATATCTAAATGGGGCTAGGCGAAGAACAGCCGTGATGACTTGTGCAACGCCACAGTTATTGTTTATTAATAATATATTTATTAATAATAATCATGTATGTAATTGGTATTTTAGGATCAGATTAATCTGACTTTTGTGAACTAGCGGTGTTCCCAGGCTTGGACTCTGTTTTTATTTCTTATCCACGCCGGGGGCAAGGGAGATGAGAGGGCATGACTCTCTCCCATTACCGTGTCTAGCATGGTGTACTTGGGCTGCCTGAGCATTTTACTTCCGTCACACAACAATAGAAACTGAGATGATTATTATCGAACCCAGGGCCGCTTCGTATGTAGCACGCTGTTCATGAAACACCCGAGAGGTATAATATTTCTTTATTATTATTATTATTATTATTATTATTATTATTATTATTATTATTATTATTGCTTTTTATTGTCGGCATTTCCTGGTTGTTTCGTGTCCCCTTCACGAAGAGCTTTCGATTCAGTTTCAAGGTCCCTCCAATTTAACTATTTGTGTATTTATTTATTTATTTATTTATATATTTATTTTATTGTAAATTCCGCCCCTCCGTCTGAATAATTTGCGTGGTTGAAGTGCTGACCTGCGTAGAGGCGGCGCTCGGGGTCGGCGATGTGCGCGAAGCGGGCCACGGACTCGGCGGGCGCCTGCAGCGGCACCTCGTAGTTGGCGGCGTGCACCGCCAGGTGCGCCAGGTACAGGAAGAGCGGCTGGCGCGCGTCGTGGCGGCGGATGCGGTCCACCGCCTCCTCCGTGAAGAGGCGCGTCGTGTACTTGCCCACGGCGTCCGTCGCCACGCTCATGTTGCTCCGCATGTCGTAGCCCTCGAACGGCGCGAACTGTCCCACAAGCCCAACACGCACTGCCATTACACGCGAAAGCCATACTCTGACATGCGAATCTTTCACATTATTAAGAGCGACATTAATTTGTATCGACATACAATATGTTTCTGTACATACATAATTTCATCCCAATTTTTGATGTCCGAATTATTAACCTGTACTGTATTAGTTGTTTTTTAGTATTTTTGTGCCGATAGAAATTAGTGCAATTACAACTATGCGTTCGATGTATTTCATAACGAAACAAATAAATTTTCCAAATCTTTAGAATGGAAATAGTTATTTTAATTGCTTTGGGCAAAAATGGGCTGTTTTGATTTGAAAGGAAGTAATTGGTTTGTATTTAAGTATCGTTGGAAAACATCGAAAATACTCCATTTTTTGCAAATCATTTTTCCATTTTAATTGTAAATGTGTTTCCTTGAGAAAATAATGTATGAATTTGGTGGTAGTTACATCTAAGAAATAGTATTTTGAAAAAATAAAAACGTTGAGTTTGCTTCCCTGAGAAGTGTAGCATACTGTATTTTCTCTCTCAGAATTTTACCTTTATATTTGATTCCTCATTTTTCAAATCTGATTTAATATTTCGTAGTAATTTATTTCTTTTAATAACGAGTAGAACAATGCGCTCAAGTGAATTTGAAATGTATCTTGACAAAAAAAACACTTTGTATTAGAATTTTCGAAATAATATTGCATTTTTCTATGCGAAACAGTCAAATCATCTCTAAACACGCCCACATTTGGAGGTTGATGAGATAAATTTAAAACGTTTGTCAACAGAAAGTAAAAATCACGTGAGACATTTCTTCACCTCTTACAGCTTACAACACATCGCACATTCAACAAAATCGTAGAAGGCCACCTTGTCTCCTTGTAAGCCAGGCAGTTCATGAGCATGTAGTGGTTAATAGGAATTACGTTACGTGCGGTGCATTTCGGATCAATGGCCGCCATCTCGACCACGTTGTTTAGCCAGTTTTCTTTGAACCATTAATCAAAAGCTAAGAGGGCGCCTTGTTTTTCTTCTAGACTTAAATGTAGCCTTCTCTTTGCGCACGTTTTATTGAGCTCTCACAGCTACTAATAGTTGTGGTAGGAGTAGAACCGTGGGGAATGGTTTGCTATTTTGTTAGCAATACTATAAAATCAAAACTGTTGTTCGTTTATCGATGTAAATAAGTTTTCTTGAACTCGCAGGCGCAAATGTCTAGTTTTTCAAATATTGCTAACCTCGCTTTTTGAATACTTTTTATTCATCATTCAACGAAGTTTAGAAGAGTGCACTAGGAAATTCTCTCCGCACCGTGCCGAGTCAGGGCCTCCGATTAAAAATGACATTTTTGTTGGAAGCAACCAGATCACTGGGAAACAAGTCCAGCGAACAACTCTGCCAGCATTTGTTATGATTCTGGCGAGTACACTATGTACGTTTTCTTTTCTTACAAGCTCGTACAGCTCGTTCTACCGACATTTCTGTTGCTAGCACTCTCTCTCCGCAGTGGCAATTTGCGGGTGACCTTCCTAGCACGCTATAAGTAATAGAGAGCGATTGCAGAGCGCAAGAAAACGTGCGCAGATACAACTTCTGCCCTATACGTCACACACAGTTTTACTGTTATTTTGACGAAACTAAATGACCGCCAGCGCTCGAGGGCCTTACCGAGGCCTGCACGTTGTGCGAGTAGTAGTCCTGGTGGCCGTTCCAGTAGCCGAAGTGCGAGTGGAAGCCGCGGAAGATGGGCGTGTACTCGCGCCGGAAGAAGCCCAGGTGCCACTTGCCCACGGCGTGCGTGGCGTAGCCCAGGTCGCGCAGCCGCTGCGGCAGCAGGCGCTCCTCCAGCGGCAGCCCCCACGGCTCGGGCGCCAGGATCACGTTGTGCTGCATCCCTGACACACAAACACACATACACTCACGGAGGTGTCGTGGAATAAATATTACAAACTTCGAGAGGGGTTTGAAAACGATATCTCTGCGAATGAACATGTGGTAGGATATTTCAAACAACGAAGTTGAGGCGTTCAGAATAATAATAGCAGATCCCAACCGATGTTCGTTTCGAGAAAATGACTTTTGTTGTTTTCGTTTACGTTCGCTTACCCTCCGGACCCATTTTTGAAGGTGGAATTTGAGGGATAACCCAATTCATTTGATATTTCAGCATATGAGATGTATGTGGCAATAGTTTACCGTCATATTTCGAACTGAAAATGCGAGGTTGGTTGGGATCTCCCGTTATTATCCTGAGCGCTTTAGTTAAATGCATTTGTGCATGTGGCCTTTGTCTCCAATTTCTAGGCATCCGCGTAGGCACAGATGTTCGGCGTGTATTTGAAATCCCCTTGACTACATCAGAACGTGACCCGCCGAACATCTGTACATAAGAGGTTGCCTAGAATTCAGGAAAATATATGCCCTAGAAGATTGTAACAGTAATTTATTCTGTGTCGTCCTGTATTCGCCGCAGCTACCCGACATCACTCCTTTAGTACGCGGGATCTTGCTCTAAGTGTCCCGATTTCTAAGCGTTCGCGTGCTGTTTATGTTCATTTGCACATTGTACATTGTAGAGTACATTTTATGAATTGATGTAGTTACCTGATTTTATTTTAGAGAGATACATTTTTGTATTAATACGTACGTTTTCAACCGAAAATTGGGATCAAAATAATTCAAATTGAGAATATTCCAATCAAACTGAGGAGGAAAGAAGAGAAGCAGGACAAGGCGGACAAGAAAAAAATATTAAAATTATTTCTTCAAATTATTAGCTATTTTTAGTGACGTGAAGTGCAGTTCCAGGGAAATTCAGTGTGATATGCGACATTGCCAATGTTAAAAATAAAATAAAATAAAATATAGTGGAGTGTGGGGCTGGGCGTTGCAGTGTAGTGCAGGCAGAAACGTAAGCAGTAAGTGGATTAGAGTAAATGAAATAATTAAGATTAGAATTACATACAATAGCAATAAGATTAGAATATAATTTAGATGGTATTAATTAGCTGTAAGTATTATTTTTGGGGGCAGCATATGTAATGTGTTGTATGTGTGTGTGTGTATTGTGTGTTATATCGTGTATCACGCACGTGTGCATAATACTAATATTTTATATGAATATATATATACTATATATATATATAGTATATATATATATATAGTATATATATATAATATAATATATATATATATATATAATATATGTGTGTGTGTGTGTGTGTGTGTGTGTGTGTGTGTGCGGCCGCAGCGTCGTGTTACGTACGTGTGCGGTGTGCGTGGCATGTTTGGGTGTGTCACAGAGAGTTGTTAGTTTCACAGTGTACTCGTGAAATGGAGGCTTTTTTTGCATAACTGCTTCGGATCATGTCTTATGAGTAATGCATATATATTATATACTTCATTTGTTCTTTTCACTGTATTTATTAGAATATTTAATGTGACTTCATTTTCAATTTGTAATAGTGTAATTAATTGCTTACACCTGGGCAAGATGCCAATTGTGGGCCAATAAATAAAAACAAATATTAATTATTCATATATTATATATTAATTAATTATATATATTATATTATTATTATTATTAAAAAGGACGAAAATGAAAAGTAGGTGTACCTGAAATTTATTTCTTTTTTTCAATAATTCAGTAAATGCGCAAACGTTTCGCATTTTCTTAATTTTAATTTCATGTATATTCTCAACGTTTGAACGAGCTTGCTTTTGTGTAGAATATCCTTGATCTCAAAACGAATTGTTTTTTTCTCAGTTTAAAGTGTTTGTTATATTATAGGTTAGTCTCAGCTTGTATGTGGTTCTCATCAATTTGAGGTTGAAAAGGTATTATACATACACTATTATTTCCTGAGTAAAGTAACCTTCAACTCCTTTAGATTCTTTTCAGAGATGAATTGTGCCGCTCCAAAAATTACGAGAGTATTTTCCTATTCTGTCTTATGTTCTCACCTGTTCGCATTGGGTACTTTCCGGTCATAAGAGCAGATCTCGAAGGAGTGCACAATGGCAAAGTGTAGTGATTGTTGAGGATGATTCCATGGTAGGCCAGTGCATCTATATTTGGCGTAGGAATTTGGTCATTTCCATGAAAGCTAACGTCGTCCCATCCCTGAAACACAAAAGTTGGAATTACTTAAGGGGACAACATTCGATTTCATGTGGATACGTTACACATGTAAAAAAAATTCTTATTTTGCAGAAGTGTTTAAATGAATGCTGAGACGTTCACTTCGTTGACAAAGTAGAAGTGTTTTACACTATGTCTTAACTTTTTTAATTACCTTATTCATTTTGTACTTTCCCGCCCACAATTCTTAAGAAAATAAAGTATTGCAATCTTGCATCGGAAAACGGCGAATTTTCGTCAGAAACTGTTTGATAACAAAATGTGGATTAATCTTATTTCTGTATATAGCAACTTACTCTCTCTAACACGTTCTGTAGTAAGAATCCATGTTTTGTTGGTTTTTGAAACCAAAAAAAGTCGATTGACTACAAAACGTCTGTCTGTTCGTCCATCTGTGTCAAAGCTAGCTCTAGAACCATTCAGTCGATTTTTTGCAAAATTGATATTCCTCGATCAATTTAAATGAACTCGATGTCCCCTGAGTTTGAATCGACTTTTTTGATTTTGGGGGTGATTTATATGAAACAACTACATTTTCAAACTTTTTTCAGAAATGGCTCCAAATTTTTTGATTAAACTTTATCCTCAGGTAGCGACAAAACGATACAGGTCTTACTGACGGTTCCAAATTTTTCTTTAAATCTTGTCCTGGTGTAGAGCAAATGACGCATAAAACATTGCAAAACTACAATTTATTATTCATTTCATTTCATGACTCATTTGTATTCAGTTTCATTATGAAATTTTTTCCTCAATGAAATCTGTTCTTTAAAACTATATCTTGAATAATGTAAATGAATGAATCTGAATTTTTGGCAATTGCAAATGCAAATGTTGAATTATTTTGTGTGTCTGGAAGGTTGATTTTTCTGGGTGGCTGGTAATATAAGGGTATTGGGAA